GATGAATCTATTAACTAGAAAATAAAAGGCAAAAAATTTGAGGCCTATTAGGCACATGTCGTAGAACAAGACTAAATGATACAACTCTAACTAATAGAGTCAAAGTTACCCACCCTACTTGCAAAAAAAAATGACATGCACCCATGTAAGGTTGCATAAAACTATGATAATCCTATTTCAATACATGTTATTATAAGATTACATGATAAAGATGTGATAGTTTAGTTTTAAAGAAATGCCCTTGTATGAGGGAAAACACAGAACCACATTCACTAAAATGAACTTATTCACATAAATTCCTCTATACTACTACATAAACATAAAAATCATTATTTCATGCTAGTGAATAAAAGAACATTCCTAGAGTGGAACAATATGATAGGAAGCAAAGAAGCTAATTTGAAATGTATCACAATGGTATAGCAATCAGCAAAAACTTTTAACAAGAAGCTAAAATCAATTAGGGAATTGCCCTTAGAAGATTCAAGAAAGGGGAAAAGACTATGAAGAAATTGAAGAAGAAAGTACAGTAAAGACTCTAAAACCTCATTCATCTCTCTCTTTGTTTTTTTTAAACTATAAAGCACTAATTTCATTGCTGCTCGTTGATAAGTGCCTCTTGTACAAATTGATGAACATAAATGATAAGAAAAGGACAAATGTGCATGTTGTAAGAAGTTGAGGGATCTATCGAAAATTCTCAAGAACCAAGACCAATAAGTTGAGACATCTAACAAAAATATTGATAAGAGCTAATCTTGAAACAGAGAAAAGAACAAGTAGAGTAGAAGAGAGAAGGGGATGAAGAAGACATAAAAGATAGGATTTGCTCTTATCAATGGTATCAGAGCAGCGGATTCGATAGTTGACGGTTTAATCTGGAGATGGAGTTACACAATTTGGTACCTCGAACCTCTAGTTAGATGATCACCTATGTCAATCACCACTCTAATCAATATGCAAAGCTGTTGAAGGAGATTTCAAATATTGACAAAAGAATTTCAAATGTTAACATTTGAAGTGTAATTTTTTTAAATAACAGTAATCTACACACAAAAATGGGGTTAAAGATCATTTTTTCCTTTAACATTTTTTTAAGGAGTGCTAGGTACCTATAATAAAAGGTGAGGAATGTCCCCCTTAAACAACTATTTTCAAGAGCAAAATCACCCTACCACTAGAGACTTGGCATCTTTTTCATTATCTATTAATGTGGAATAGTTGCATGGCTTACGAAGAGTAACAATAAGGCATTTGGACCCATTTTGATCATTTGACGTAAGCAAAAGGGACTAGAAATGCCATTGACAATGGCAGGAATTGGGTCTAATTTTAGTGGCTAAACGTGACAAAATGGGTCAAAATGCTTGTTGTCATTGTACGTGGGCTCCAACTATTTCATGTAAATAGATAACAAAGAAGATGATGAGTCTTTGATTAAAGGGTGATTTTGCTCTTGAAAAAATTATTTAGGGGAGATATTGCCCTACATTTTAATAGAAAATACCTAGTATTTCTCAAAAAAAGTTTAGGAAGAAAAATAATCTTCAAACCAAAATACTAATTTGAAACAGTAAAATGCATATGTATGCCTATTGGATTTTGATAGAGCATAATTTGCCTTTCATTAATTCTTTTCTTTTTTTCTTTCCTTGGTTATGTTATTTAAGTTTTTGAGTTAGACTAATCTAATCAATAACTTGTGAGAGTCTCTTTTGAAATATACTTCCTACCAATTGTTACTACATATCTAAGCTCAAAACTTGTGACTTTTACTCTTTTAGTAAGCTGGATTAATGCCCTACTTAGTTGATTCAAGCATCCAGTAATATAATTCTTTTCTTTTCTTCCTAACACTTTCTATTTTGATATAAAAAAGAATACAAAAATTTAAAAATAACAACAAAAAGTACAAAACATTGATGATTATGGCTAATGAAATAATTGTTCATCATCAATGTTTATCGATCAATATTAATAATTAATATGAGTATCAATATTAGAAGGATCTTGATTCTCTATTACTACTTTCCATACTTTCTTTCTACATCTTTTCACCAACAATACTTAAAAAATTATTAAAAAAAAACTCCTTGATTTTGATTATGCTCATGAGGAGACGTAGAGTCATAGAGAGATAGAAGAAAAACATGTTAGATGTGCTATCAAGTCCCATATAATAACATATTCACACCTAGATTGCATTTCAAACAAACATGAATGCATTTATAGAGAATAAAATAATTTTCATCTTGAACGGTATTTAGTGTGTTTATATACAGGTAAAAGAATAAATTAGTTCCTAAATTATAAAGTTAAGAACATTTATGATCCTAAACTCATCTTTTATATAATATTTTTCTTTAACTTTTGAAAATGATACAATTTGACAATTGCCATTAACCAAAGTTAACTTTGATAATTAGTTGACAAAAAACTAACAGAAAATGATATAAAAAATTACAGAAAAAGACCAATGAATTTTGTGTGTGTCATTGTCTATATGTTTTAGTCTTTTATTATAATTTTCACGTCATTTTTTGCAATTTTAAAGTCAATAAATAATCAATGTTAACTTTTATTAACAGCAAAAGATAAGTTACACTATTTTTAAAAGTTAAAAAGGAGCATTGTGCAAAAAAAATAAGTTGAGGATTTTAAACATTCCTAAATTTATAATTTAAAAATAGTTTACTCTTTTATTTCAGCAATTCCTCACAAGCACACAAATTTTTAGGTTTTGATAGGTTATCTATTTGTTGTGTAAAGGCTTGAACGCGTAACAACTCTTGAATTAAAATAGATTCTATGAATTTTATATAAAAAAAAAACAGTGTTGGATATTTCTTTCAACTCCATGGTCTTTAATACTATTCAATTTATTATTTTCTATTTAAAAAAATCCAATGTCCAAGGCTGGATGGTTTTTTTTCCTCATAAAAAATGAGTTGGATCAATATTTCAGTGTTAGATAATGCTCTGTCAATATCGGATAATGCCTTGTCAGCATTTTTTATTTGCATAACAGTGAAGGTTAGCAATGAGGAAATTTTTTTACTGTATTTTGAAAGTTAAAGAATTAAGAAAAATTAAATAAAATTAAAGGACTATAATGAAACTAAATGTAAAGCTAAGGAATCATGTAAAATTAGAGTAATATAAAATTAGTTCCATTATATTCAAGTGAAATATGATGCGTCATTTTTTTCTTATAATGATTTAATAGAAATCCTAATTTAAGTGACTCCTGTACTCAAAAGATAAAAAGAAATAATTACGATAGTATGTTTGGATACTTATGAATTTAAATTTGAATCAAATTTTTTGTTTGAGCACTTAAAATTTATGAATTTGAAATTACCTAAATTTGAAACACTTGAATTTCAAATTTAAAATTTAAAATATAAAATTTTAAATTCAAAATTCAAATCTAAATTCATTAATCCAAATACTACCTTAAAATTTCCTATAACATAATTAATACTATAGAATTAATTGACAATTAAATAAAGCAAGATAGCAATTAAAATAGCAATCATTTTATTATACTACCTTTATTAAAAAATATAAAGTAATTTTAACTGAATCTTCAATAAAATAACTGTTTATTTTTAAACTAACATTATCTTTTCATGTACACTACTATTTAATATAATGCTTTATTTTAAAATAAATATAAAGTGATTCACTTATTAGGAGTACTTTTGAAAAAAAAAATAAAAAGTAATAATTATACTTTTAAATATTAAAAATATCTTATATTTTTAAATATTTACTCTCTCAAAAAATACCTTTTATTTTTTAACTAACGAAATATTAACTATCATTTTGTTAATGAATATTATAATATTTAATTTTATTATGTGAAACTTGTATGTAATTCTTTCAAGGCTGTTTATGGTCAAATCTTAAAATTTAAACTCACCTCCATTTGATGGAAAGTTCAAAAAAGAAATATATTTTAGTTTTTAAAATTTGAATCAAACACCGTTGCCCTGATTGCTAGGACAACAGACAAACTATCACCATCATTACAGACAATGACAAAAAAAAAGTCTTCAAATGCACCCCATAAACAAACTTCACCGAGAATACGGTTAAGGGCAAAAAATAATCAGGTAATAGTAATTGGTTCAGGTTTTCCAAAATACCCAGGGATGGAATAAAACCAAAAAAGAAGGGAGAAGGGAAAAAAAAAAAAGGAAAGAGAAAAGCTACATTCAACTCCAAAAATTCTTATATGTATACTCAATGTTATCTATTTTTATGCACAAAAAAGGGAAAAAAAAATGATACAACCAAATCACGACCAAGAAAAATGTTTACAACCATGGAAGATCAAATATTTCATAACGCTGAAGGTTTCCTCAATCATAATTTTGACCATCAATTGCCTATTTTTGTGACTATAACATTTCAAAAAATTCCCGTCAATAGTAAAAACACGCTCAAGCAAACAAATACATGCAATCTCCAATTTTCTTTCTTGAATCCAGCTTCATTTCCTTCCTAATAGCAGGTTATAAATTGGCACCTATAAGAACAATTCACCATTAAAAATATATATCTACTAAATAATTGAACATGATTTATTAAGGGAGTAAAATATTGTACATGATGACAATAGGATAGCAGGAAACTATAGTAAAATGGTAAAAGAGGGTAAGTTCACAGTCAAGATGGTATCAATAAGGGCTTGCCAATGGAAAATACTGTTTGTATTCTCATAATAATGTAGCATAAAGTATTACAATTTTTCAATACATTGAAAAATGAAAAATAATAATACTTGCATAAAATTTTAAGATAAACTTTAATCATAATTCTAACTAGATTAAATGACTTTGATTAAGAAAAAACTAGATTACATGGATATGTATGAATAACAGGAGGATTCATTGCTCAGTTTTAGAGAGTACTCAAAATGAGCATGACACTTTCCTTCAACATTAGCCAAAAATACCACTTGATGTCTGTTGTGCAGCAAGTTGGTGACAGCATTAAAACAAGAAAGTACTTTTCTATATCCGATGAAATTATTCGAAGACAGTTGTAAGTTCTAAATTCAACAAATTCCCAAGGCCTACAAAAGCATGGGCCAAAAATAACCAACATTAAGCAAACATGAAAGATTGCAGATCGAATATTTTAGGAAGTTGGCCACAAGCGTGCCTTAATAATCAGAATTGTAATCCAAAGTGGTACATCAGCCTAAAATGGCATTAATTTAAATAAGGAAAGTTACAAGGAAAAAAGGGAGGGTTTTTTCCTGAACGAAACTTCGGACAATCCACGTTTATCTGCCTGTATATCTATATATGACATCTACACGTAAGAGAAGATCTATAAGAAACTACGCATGAATAGTGTAGCTCACTTCAGATTATATGCAATGCATGAGTCCACAATCTAGTTTTTAAACATTTGCTATCAAGTTCTCAAGTAAAAATATAACAATTAGAAATTTTCAGTTATGGAATTACATGATTAGGCTTCAAACAATGGGTATTATTGGGAAACCTACAATCAAACACCTAGGAACATCACCTAACTCTATTCTTTCTCCTCCACCAACCTATCTTTTAATGGTCAGGAGGGAAAACAAAATCCTTAAAAGCTGACCATTGAAAATCACAATTGTCAACAATCAGGAATTGGAAAAAGAAAAGGACGAAATTTACCTTTGACATAAGCCCAAAGTTTGAGCACAATGGTTAAATCCCGAAGATGCAGACAGACCAGACAGTAGCAATAACATTGCCAAGTAACTTGCTAGCATTGCTTTTTGTCAACGCAGAGGTGGAATAATCCATGATATCAGCAGAGCTATTTGATTGCAGATGCTGATGCAGCTGCTGCTTCTGATATTAAGGAAATAGGTTGGCGAGCCTGCAAGCAAGCACCTATATCGAACGGATGCAAAACAGATCCATCAAAAAGAAGATTTACACCAGGAAGGACTACTTCTTTACTGTCATTTTCATCTGGTTCGGCTCTTGCTGTATTATTGCCTGGGGGGGATTCTCCAGTTGGCCTTGTGATATCATCGTAGCCTGTTAACGAATAAGATCTGCAAGCAACATTCAAAAGCATCCTGTTTTAGAGACTTGGATGCACAAAATCTTGTTATTTAAAAGTAATCTATATCATCTGAAAAACTTCCCCAAAAAAAAAAAAAAAAAAGACAAAGGAACTTATAGAATCACAAGAATCAAAGAAAAGTTTCATCATCTCATTACATTACAGAAAGGTCCAGGTGATTATTTAAAAGTAATTGATCTTGTATTTGTCAAAATACTGATCGCTATTTTATATGAAACCCATTCAATGCTGAAGGAATAAGTAAATGCAAAAGTTTAGGCAAACCTAAGAATGTTGCCATCGAAACTCAAAATTTCAGTTCGCCCACGCTGCCGATTAACAAGTTTTAATCTCTGGTGCTCGCTTGATGCCCCTGAAATTGGAGAGGAAGGGTCCAAAAATGGGTTCCATCTGCCACTAGCATAGTTCATAAGTTGTCGAGAAGATTCCTTAGCTTGCTCTTTCTGGTATAGAAGCTTTGCAGCAGGACCCGTTGCTTGGTATTCAGCACAAATGTCACGCAACTTTTTCCTTAAGCTTTGCATTGCATCATGGTATTCACTAAATGAACCAGTTTGAAGGAACTCTGATGAAACCACCTTCTTGCATATTTTATCGCACAACTTTGGACTAAATAGAGGCATCCCAAACTCGACACTTAGGGGAACCCATTCAAACTTCTCTTCAGGTGACAAATGATCCGGTTCTTTTCCATGAAATAATTTCAACAGGCGAATATAACCAACTGTCCACAATTCCATCTTGTTTGCCAAATCAGTCAACAGAGAATTCAACTTTGAGCTTTCCGCTTCACATAGTCCTGACTCTTTTCCTATTGGAGCAATGGAGCCATCTGAATTCTTTAGGGGCAGAGGGATATCAATAGTAATCACATTTCCAGTATCATCAAGATCATATCTACTGAGAGGTTGCACCAATAAAGCTGAATGTTTAAGAAGTGAATTTAAACAATGCAAGAGTATACCTCCCTTCACTAAGTTTCCTTCAAGCTTCCCTCCCAACCCTCCTACAGTGGAACCATCCCAAGACCATATGAGGGCCTTCTCACATCCAGCCAATGGGGCAGGAAGCATACGGAAGCATTGTCCTTTCATCAGTACAACTGACAATGGCCCACTAGCTATAGTTGAATATAATACCAATTTCATCCAAGGAGTCATAGAAGAATATGAGGGAGGACCAAAATGAACAGGGCCCGTGGGTCCAGGAAGAATTGATGAATGAGGAAGAGGCACTATAGACACAACTATATCATAGTCACGAAGAAACAGACGATCTAGAGTATCTGGTGCAAGAGAAGCCAAGCTTTCACAGCGGAGAATATCTACACGGTATTTCTTTTTCCTCTTTATTATTTCTGTTCCAACATCTGACGCATCAGCTGCCATTAGTTTCTCGTTCCTCTGGAGATTTGCATCAGATTCACTGGCTTCTTGCTCATGACTAATGTCATCTTCCATCACAATAGAATGTGTTCCATCAAGTGTGCTGCTAGGAGCAGGTTCAGAGGAAGCAAAAGCATCCTCATGCTTATTTTTATCAAAATTTAAGGATATTCCAGATATTAGCGAAGCTGATTCATCATTGCTTGAAGTTAACATATCCATGCTGTCAAATTTTTCCTCTACTTTTGCATCAGTAGCAAGTCCACCTGATTGTAAACATTCTAATACACATCGCAGGCTAAATGCATGATTTGCGAATTCCTGTAGTTCACCCTCAAATTTTGCACCCTCCAAGGTACTTAGATCCTTGCAAAGATCACCAATGCTGGCATGACCCAGTTTTCCCGCTTCATAGAGTGTAACAGCATGGGATTTCAAGCCTTAACCAATTTCACAGGTATCACATTTTGGTCAGAGACCTTGAACAGGTTAAAAGAAACATGCAAAGAAATTCTAGCGCACGTGGGAAGCCATAAGACTAACAAACTCATATGAGGTTATTTACAGTGAAACAGAAAAACATGCTAAAATTTCTCAGGTATAATAAGAATATGCCCCCTTTTTTGCAAGCTTTGGGACTCAGATCACAAAATAAAAATTCAGGGGCATTCATCTAAAAGTTTAAGCTTTTGATCTGATGTGTCCTTTGACAATTAGAACCTCAATGGCAAAGAGGTTAGACCTATAAACTTATCCTTGATATCTCCATTTACATAATCAAATTAAGTTTCATCAGAAGGAATGGTGGGCGTGTTAGAGATTAAGATAAAGCTATTCTTGAATCCTCATTTAATAAGTTAAGCTTATGTGATGAACCGACCTTAGGCAAATTTCACTAAAGCCTAGAGAATCTTGAAGTTTAATTTCTCGTACTGTCCTAGTGTATTCTAGGACCTATACTAATGCAGACAATGTCCATAGGAAATCAACTACAGGTTATTGAACATTTCACAGAGGGAACCATGTTAGCAGGAGAAGCAAAAAGCAATGTGTGGTTGCAAGATCCAATATAGTAGCTGAGTTCAAAGCACTAACGGTTGGACTTTGTGAGCTATTTTGAATATAAATAATATGAGAAGATTTAAAAATCAAGCGGGAAGGCCCAAGCTTTATTGTGTGAAGAAATGAGCATTGAACCAGAACTTTATAAAAAAGGAGTTGGACAGTGGCCTAATTTATACTACACACATATCTACAACAAATCAGATGGTTATCTTGTTACAATTTCCAAGAGTTAGCCACCAAGCTAAATATCCACTCACTAGCTTTTGGGGGGAGTGGACATTGCAATTATTTTGTAATTTGTCATAAGATTTATTGTAATTATTTCCTTTATTATTGGCAAAAATGCACGTTTGACCTTCTAACTTTATATAAGATTTCAATTCCTGGCCAAAAAAAAATCTCAATTTGGTCCTTTAATTTTATAATATATTTTCAATCCTCTGACCCTAATACCGATAGTCTTAAATGATAATTTTTTTGTGCCAATCATTGTCATTTTAAAACAATAAGCCTTATCTCACTAGGCAAGGTCAACTACATGGATTGCACAAAGCCATTGTGCTCTATCATCAATCAAGCTTTTAGGAATATTGTTCAATAAGAGGTAATTGTTATTTTAAAAAATTAAATTTAATATGTGAACATTTAAAAGTTCAATGCTAGCATTTTTTGCTAGTGAAACTAACAATGCTAGGGTTAGACAAATGAAAAGACACTTTATATAATTAAAATACCAAAATGAAGTTAAAGGACCAAAAGTGCACTTTTGCTCTTTATTATTTGACCCAAGAATCAGGGACATGAACAAAGGATTACCAATCCCCTAAATTTAGTAATCTGTCCTCAGCACATTAAATGTCTTTCATATGATAGCTTCATCCTTTGTATATAAATATATTGTACCCATTCTACTTGAATTATTAGCAAATATTCAGACATTTGTTGGCTTTGCAACTGGTTATTGCATTTCTGTTGGCAGAAATTTGATGTCAGGAAGAGTAGGAAGCAGACAGTGGCAGCTCACTCTAGTTCAGAATAGAAGCGCTGCGGCACAAACTTTAAGTGAGTTTTTTGGAGGAAAAAACACCTGACAACCTAAAGAACTATTGTGTGTCACCAAACAACAGCCCATATTGCTTCAAAAGTGCTCCAAGAAATAACCAAACTCATCTAAGTTTATCATCATTTTGTTACAAATAGCTTTAGCAGATCCCTGATCAAAATAAACTGCACCAAGTTTGAAAATCAGCTAGGTAACTTATTTACCAAATTTGTTGGAGGTTTTTGTGTGAAACCTATTAATAAGCTTGAATCGTATGAAATTTATGCTCCAACTTACAGGAGAGTGCTGAAGGATAAAGCTAGAAGTATCCCAGTGTTGTTCTCTAGGGTAATTATAATTATCTTAGATTTACCCATCTGTCCAGCGCAGAGTTTTTAGTTTGTCTTGATTCCTTCGTAATTTGTTTCTTTCTTGGTAAAATTATAAATAAAAGGTCAGGCAGGTATTTCAGCCTTAGTTCATCTGAACTCTGTTAAACATGTACTTTTGAATTTTAAGAGAGTATATGAACAAGGAACAAGAAGCTCACTTCTTTGCAAATTGCTGCAGCATGGCTTTTTGAAATAACTTGTGAAAACAAAACAGATAGAAAAAGCCTCCTGTCAAAGAAAAAAAAACCCAGGAAAAGGGCATTGATATAAAAAAGTCCTCACATATGCGTGCTATTTATGCTAAGATGATGACATCTTGACACTAAGTAGCATGAAGGGGATCAGTTTTTGCCCCATGCAGTAAAAAATCATTAGTAGGGAAAAAAAAAAAGTTAAGGCAAAAGGAAGGGGATCAGCTCCGGCCAACACTAGCTAGTAAAGCTCAGTCTCCACCTTGATTTTTCCCAGCAAAATCTGGCATACATGCTACAATACTTGTCCCACGTGACATTCAACCATATCACTCAATCATGTCATTCAAGCAGTTATCATGATCAATCTGCTATCTAACAATGAGTACACTAGCAAAGAGCAAACAATGCAGGAAGTTGGCTGTATTGTTGTTTCAATACTCGCAAAATGCCAGGAAATAAATTCTGATCGTAGCACCCTGTGTCTTTCAGACCCATTTTTTGTTACTACTAAAATCTCTGAAATCAGTCACAAAACCTCAGGTTTCACATACAGATTCCTATCAAATTGCTATCTATCCCAACAAAGCAAGATTCCAGGAAGAAAGACTAGGTACTATCATGAGCTTCAATGTATTCACACAAAAACGAAGCTGACATATATTGGAAGCTTAAAAAGCATGATTGCATGGTAGAATCAGACACCGCTAAAACTCAAGGACACATATAAATTGTTGGACTGGAAAACAACATCAGAAGCATGTTTAAATATGACAGAAATTGGAAAAGAAAGCATTAAAGATAAATTACACCAGAGTAGATTTACATTAAAATATAAAATAACAATGATAAAATACTTTAGGAGGTTTGTAAGTATTTATCCACATATCTAGGAGACACCTAATAATGATGCTTTCATCCAAAATAAAAAAAAAAAGGTCATCAGAAATCTTAGAATGGGCTTCCTGTGACCTTTCGTTTTCCACCTCAAAACAACTGACATTACAAACAATGTCAAAAGTCAACAAAAAGAATTTAAGCTTTAGGGAAAAGGAAAAGGGAGGGTGGATTTGAAAATAAACAAACCTGGTGAAACAGAACCCATCATTAGATAGGAAGTAATGTTAGCATCAACTATGAAAGCAACACGAGTATATGCTGAACGAATATTCCCTAACCCTGAAATATCCCCTTGTTGATTGGCATCATTATCAACAAGAATATTCTCATAACCCAGACTAGCATGCGAACCATCTTCATCACTGACTACACTTCTAGGAGAAGCAGGTATGCTACTATCTTGAAGAATAGCTGATGGATCAATTACTTTTGTTGCCCATCCCAATCGGCATACAAAAGATGCAGCAGCCTGCAGTTGAGATAAATCAGCCTGTAGTGTAGCTGCCAATTCAGCAACAGTTGCATTCTCACTTGAAACAACAAAAACTGCATAAAGTAACCTGGAAAATAAGGTTCCAACTTAGACTCTTTAAATGGAAATAAAATTTTAACCAAAAAGGATGGAACAGAAAATTGAAACAACTCTATTACTCTTCAATAGGATCTTCATAAGACTGCTCCCTGTTGGAAACAAAACCTTCAAGCCTGGAAACTGAACCATCATAAATGTAAATGTTATTGAATTCATTTACCAACCTTCACCAGCTCAGATGACAATGCAAAACCTTTAAACTTTATTTTAAATATATAAATTTAGAATTTCTATATTTGTGCTTGTACATCTTACATATTTGTAGAACCACGCCTAATAAAACATGTCTAGATCTTTAATAAACTTTAATAATCATGGAAATTTTTACACAGAATAATAATAAATTTATTTTCTGCATTTTTTCATTTCAAGAGTAAAATAATAAAACCTAGTCACTTAAAGCAGAGGATAAAACATGAACACACAAAACACACCTTTGAACCGGTCATCAGGATATACAGGAACATCAAAATAGACCAAACCCCGTCTATAAAGACCCTTTACTATGTCAGGATCAAATAGGATAAAAGAATTTGCTTCTTCTTTACAAATTTTGTCAATAGTAGCCGTTTCCTCCTCTGAGAGTTTCTATAAAGGCAGAAAAATGGTGACAAAAGTCAACGAAAAATACCTGAGAAGTGAAGAAAAAGTTCACATTCCTAAATTAACACAACAATCAACATTACCAAGTGAACCTCCACTTTATTAAGATCAAAGACAGGCCTCACCTTAAATTCTTCCAAGGTAAAGTTCACAAGACAGATTCCCCACCAGGGTTCAATTGGAAAATCCACAGGTTGTGTAGGTAAAAGTTCTCTTGCAATTGACTTGTTCAGCTTCCACATGATTTTCTGGTTACTCCAAAAAGGAAACAACCGGTGATATGAGCAAAAAAAAAAAGCTTTTATGCTTGAAAGTCTGCTGAAAGGTGCGTAAATTGCAGACAGAAGTAGGCCGGATTCCTACTTTTTTCAAAAATATTCATTTTGCAAAAGTTAATTTTACTTTTGACTCCCTTACTTCACCATATTTCATGTACCCCAAAATTAAGGGAAAAATCATATAGTACTCCTGCAAGTATTCCTATAGATAATGCATGCATTTATCCATGTCATGAGGACCAGAAAACAAAAAGACAAATATTATACATCATAGTAAAGTCAGTAAACAAGTGATGCAGAACCAAAGATAGAAACTCAGGAAGAACTCTCTGGAACTCGACTCAATCTCAACATTCACAAAATCAGGAATGTGAAACAAAGGTGAATAAACCAATAAACTTGCAATCCTATCATAGGCATATATGCTACAATTTTTTTGTATGACTAGAATTCTAACTAATCAAAGGCTCCTAACAAAGGATATTATGGTTATCACATAAATGGATGTCTACCGACAAATAGATTATTCAATTAATTATTTCTGGTCGCAAAATTAATTGAATTTAGTTAATCAATATAATTCCATAATTGCTCCAGATAAGCAATTATATTTGGGGAAAATGAAAATATGACCTTCAACTTTATGTTATCAGCAAACACCCCTTCAACTTCTAAATTGAAACTCCTAAGCTATCATCATTTAACATTTGGGAATTTTGGGATTTAGGATTAGATCATTCATTCTGCCATAAAACTTTTTCCAACATTTTTAACCCCCTAATTTACTTTCAAAATCATGGGGCCATGTCATGTTGCAAGGAAAATAGTATGAAGTGACACCTCTGTTGATGGCAAATGGCCAAAAAGTTTAGAATGTTTGAAGATGAAAGTTTAAGGGGATAATATCCATCTTTCAAAGTAAAAGGAGGTGTTCACAAATGACCTAAAATTAAAAGTGTTCATTTGAATTTTGTTTCTCAATATAATAAAATAATTAAAATAGTTATCTAGTTATCTTCTCATCCTGTACCAGGAATTTTAAAAAGAAGAAGATAGCCACAAAGGCATTACTAGTTTGGCACCAATTTCAGTGCCTTGTCAGCCCAAAAGAAGGGCAAATTGCCAATTTTCTGGCTCCAGCTAATTAAACAAACAAAAACATGCATACACAGGCATACATGGAATACAGGCATCGATTCTATTTTAATATATTATTGTACAAATGAAAATCATTGCAGTACCTTAGATCTGCACTTATTCATTATATCAATAAATTCATTTCTCCCAATTCCTGTGAGTCTTAGAGCATCCGCGGCACTAAAATTTGGGATGCTGTCATATGGTTGCTCTGCAAACAATTAAAATGTGCAGCAAACTTCTAAAGGCCATCTTCAAAATAAACATACTTTTAACATCATACATATTTGCAAAGGTTGCAGTAAACAATCAAACAAGTGGAGGGAAGAAAAATACAAGGACATTATACAATCCATTAATGAATAATAAATTCCTGTAGATTATGCTATATCAAGATGTAACATATGTAAACAAACATTCAAACTAAATCATTGATATGATAAAATCTTCTACACATAAAATGGTGGAATCTGACAAAAAGTTGATTGAAGCTGCTCCAGAAATCTTATTAAGGTAATCCTAATCTCACCAGCATGTGGATCTGGTGAGTACTACAGGCTAACACTCACTCCCAGAATATATACAACTAGGAGCCCTTCTCTCTCTCACAATTACACATCACCTTTGCCCAAAAGTTAGTTACCAGCTTAGCCCATTAGCTCCAGGTCCCACAACAGGCTTAATGGCAAAAGCAGAGGTCACAAAAATAACCATTGCAATTGCTGTATTTATTGTTTCTTTCCTAATAATAAAAATCTAGAAGCAAATCCAAAAAAGAAAAGAAAAAAGAAAAAAGAATGTGGTCACCAAGAATACTAAGGACATTGGCTTTGGCAATATATTTGCATCCAGTCATCTCTTTCCTTAAAGCCTCCTCTCACCTTTCCATTTAGTTTACTTCATCACAGTTCATCTATGAGGCACCAACATCATTGGAATACATGCAAGCTTTGAACCAAAGGGGCATATGAAAGTGTTCATTTTGTCACTACTTAGGTAATCATTATCCCCTTAATCGTGCTTCTGCAGCTTTCAATAAACCAGTAATTGCTATAGGCCATTGGATTCGAACTAATTCTCATACAACTTTACCATGTGGAATATTTCATCTTGCACCACAAGCAATACGGAGTAAAGTACTATGGGATGCCTAAATCCATTATTGAATAGCATCCACTGCTTGATAGAATGCTTATGAAGGGTAGCTTCCTCGTCTCAATAACTAACATTTAGCAGGTTTATTCTATCCACTTGGGGGCTTACCATTTGGTATCAAAGCTGGTGATTGAAGTCTCTAGAAAAGGCTACTTGTGAAGGTTTCTGTCTGGCGAAAGGCCTAATAAAGTGTTGTTAAGTGTAGCCGTTCAGGACATCAATTTTCCAAGGATGGCCAATTGGCAAGGTCCAAAGTTCTATGAAACATCAAAGTCCCATATCAAGTAACAGAATTTCCCAATGGGAGACTTAAGTAGGGTAATTCTCCTGCCTCAATAATCAACTTGACAAAAGTTCCTCTCCTCACTTGGGTTCCTATCAACAAGCATGGATGCTAAATGTATCCATTTGAAAAAAATCATCTTAATACTGGATGTCTCACTATAGATTTTTAATATGAAAATGATAAGCATTAAAGATCAACATAAAAATATAACTCCACTAGCAATTAAAGAAATGGATGCACCAACAATTCATAAGAACACTAATCATCTGATAATCAAGAAGCTGTCAATTGTCAAGAAAACTAAAAGACCAACTAACAAAATAAAAGATCCAACATGAAAAGATTCCAATAGTTCAATCCATGTACATAAAAAGATAGAACAAGACCCAATGGAGAATACAATTCATTTGAGAATTGCAAGTAGAGATTTACCATTTTTCATTACTTCAAAAATTATATCACAATAATATTTGAAAGGCGAGATTCTCATTATGCGGCAAATGTATTCTGCAAGATGATAAGGAAATAGCTGCAAGTGGAAAAACAAGAGAAAAAGAGATACTCATTAAATGAAAGTGTACTACAACAAAAGCAAAAGAAATTGAGGGCCCCGCCCAACATCCAAGAAATCGTAGTTATATATTGGCTTGATCTCATTTTTTTAAATATGTAGAGTCATAGACAAACAGATAGTATCCTTTTGATAAGAAAACAAGTAAATATAACTGAACATATATCAATCCTAAAAATAAAAATAAAAACTAAGATCTATATTCAAAAACACTATTCAAGACATGGAAACTTGATATATGACATTGTAATGGTGATGCTAAAAAATGATAAATTTTTCACTAAAAATAATAGCAGCATCTTTCTACTAAGCAAAATCCATCATCAAACTTTTCCTAATCAAGTAAAGAAAAACCAAAGACATAAAACACACTTGAACAATGCATGTGATACGCAGTTTCAGAAATAGGAGTCAAATAGAATTTACATAGAGAACATACAGCTAAGTTCTTCCGCAAGTAACGCATCATCTCTTCATAATATTCACTTTCTCTACAAACTTTGCGAGCAAAACAGTTACTCCATTGGAGTCTCTTCCTTATGCAGTAATCTATAATCCTGCATTGAATTTTCAGGGCCAGAGAAAGAAATAAGGCAATCTCAAAATGCATTTAAAAAGAAACCCATTCAAGGATGCTCTCTGGACAGTGATGTCTGTGTCAGGTAAAGATAATTAAACAATCCACGGAGACAAGAGAACGAAAGCAACAGAATCAGAAGAACAGTGATGACGCTAAAATCACCTTCTATGCCATTCTTCTTTGGAAGAAAGAGTTAGTTGAAGTCGTTTTGGAAGATTTTCCCACGGGCATTCTTCCTTAATAGCTCTCTGTAACAATTGTTCCTCCACTGCCACTGGACCACGGTGCATTTTCCACTACCCAGATAGCTAGTCTGCTTCTATGCTATAAAACACCACAAAGTCACCACAAGTAGTTATGATTGTGATCTCGAGCTTGAACCTGGAGCTAAATCTTTTAACACACAAAATTCACCCCAATTATGCAGAGAATAACAGTTCCACAAATCATTTCATGAAACTTAGCTTGGAATTGTAAGGATCCGAACTAGATCACAACGACTACCAGCAAAATTATAATAGTGACCGGGAATTCGCAGAAAGTGGAACAATTTATATGAATGTTGGTCAAAACTGAACATAGTAACACACATCGAGCACCTGATCTTCGTTGAGATCGAATTCAGCTAGGGTTTCAAGATTCAAATCCACTTATTCTGTTTCTTCTTCTATGAAGCAAGGATGAAGATTTTCGCACGAGATCTGTAGAGTGAAATTCGTCAGAGTTCAATGCCGTGTCACATTTCGCCGGTTGTTAACCCGTTGGATTTTATCCGACCCGTTGAATTAAAATACAAAAATAGGAAGAACCACACCTACGAGAAAAAAATGCACTTAGATCTCATTTGATTGCTAAAAAAAAATAAAATAAAATATAAAAATAAATTAAATTATTTTATGATAAATATGATAAAATTTATTAATATATATTACATATATGAGAATTATCACACTTTTAAAAAATTTCATGAATTATAAGTTCCAACCTTATAAATTAAATTTAAAAAAAAACTTATAAATTAAATCACCCATCTCCTCATGATTATACTTACATATCTCCTTTAAGTATCTTATTTTTATCTTTATGTTTTAATCCATTATATTCTTTTCTAGTAAGTAAATGGGATCTTAAGGTTTAATACAACTTGAAATATCTCTAGCCTTAAATAAAAATATGTTTTAATGAGAAAAAAACTTATTTATCCATCCAAAAACCAATCAATGTTCATAGATCTCATCTTTTCTTCCTTTTCTCCTCTTTCTGTTCATCTTCCTCTTTCTTCTCTCCCTCCTCTTCCTTAGACCCCATGCTCTCCCTTCCTTTTCCATTTATCTCCCAATCTGTATCCATGCACCCGACCCAACTTCTCCCTCATTTTCAAGTAATTTAAAAAAAAAAAAGACAAGAACAAATCAAGCTTGGTTCAATTGATGGGTTCTAGTGTTCTGACATAGCTTTGAAATTTGTTGGCTTTGATTCCTTTTTGCAAAAGTGTTAATCTACATGATGATGTTACCGATTTCCTCTGGGCTCTAATTTAACTTTTTTACGACCTTCAAGCTGAATTTGAGTGATTTAATTTAAGAATCCTTATGCAAAATCATCATAAGTTCCCATTGGATAGGAAACATAGTTTTTGCATCTCACTGTACAATAGCATTCACTAAAACTTCAGCTTCTAATCTTCTGATATATAGTTAAAAATTAAATTATGTATTGTGAATATAAACATTATCTTATTAATATTGGATATTCATTTTTGAATTTAGTTGCAAATTATCCAAACATGATGTATATGTTCTTGAAAATTCAACAAAAACATGTTATTATTTAATTACAGAGTTAATGTCTTTTAAGCATGTATAATCCAATTGTTGTAATAGTTTAAAAATATAGTTATCATATGATCTATTTATTTTCAATAAGATAACATTACAATTGCTTTTTAAAGCATTGATATCATTTTATTTTTCTTTCGTTTTATATTTAATGAAACAAATTATAAGAATTATTACTAACAAACTTTATAAAGCATTGTAACAAAAATTTAAAATATATTAAATGAAGAGCATATCAATTGAAACAATTAAATAGTAAATTCAATAAGCAAGTAATAGAGTTTCTTATATTAGACAAAACTTTATATTCCAATGACACATTTAAATTATTTAATGCTTATGGGGAAGAAGAAATCTTTACCAATTTAATGATAATTTATATTGAAAAGGAAATTGTTAAAATTTTTACCATAAACATGATAATTAATTATTCTTATACCATGAAAATTAATGAGCAAAACTTAAAAAATGAATATATATATATATATATATATATTTTGTTACATGTGAGTATGTGTGTAAAACTGGATATAAGTATAGAGGTTGAAATATTATGTTATTTTAGTGATATATATAGATTTAATTTTCTTTCAATTATCATATATGCTTTGTTATTGCAACCCCTAACAAAATTTTTTGGCTACGACCCTTGTTTATATTGTTAATATATGAAACTTGTCATGTTATTTGTAAATGTTCAAATTAACTACAAGGATCATGTGAAATAGATGAACATTATGTTGTTAATAAATAATCTTGTCATGTTATATACAGGTTTTATGTTGCTCAAAAATTTGAGAAACTTTTACAAATGTGCATTTTAACCACTTGGACTATGCAAAATATATGAATATTATGTTATTAATAAAAAAATAAATAAAAATTCAATATATATATTGATAACTCTTAGCCATGTAGGTTCAAATTAACAAAATTAACACACTAGTGTAGTTTAGAGTTAACACTAAGATTGTGTCTTTTAAGGAGTTAATATTCTAAAATTCTAATAATTAAAAACACTACGAAAACAATAAATAATGGTTTGTTCAAACTATTTTAAAAAAATAAAAGTTATTTCTATTTTTTTTCTTCTTTATTTAATAAACTAAATTGAAATGAATAGGATGAAAAGATTGAGTAAAAATGTAAGTAAAATCAATGATATGAATTTTCCTTGAGTGACTTAACTACCTAATCCTTACTCTCAATTTTGATTTTAATTTCTCTTCAATTAATTGGGTTAATGATATTTAGAATTTTCTAAGTTGAACACCAAATCACTTACTATCACTAGTGGCCAATTAGTAATAATAAATAACCCAATGCTATAAAAATTATTCAATTGCTTGGTAGATTAATTTGGATAGTTCATAACCTTTACCCTAACTTAACACAATTTGTGTTCAATTGAGATTTTAGGTACTAGTCAACAAATATAACAAAAACAATTATGTCTCACTTATATAAATTGGCAAATAAAAATTTAATTCAGCAAATGAATGTAACAATTAAATTTGTCTAGGAACCAACTTAATTCAAAATTAATCTTAAATTATTCAAGTATGTCAAATTAGTTGTACGTTTATAAGTTTAAAAATATATCATTAATATCTCAACAAATTTAGTCCCAACTCATGAATTAAAAAGGTAAAAAGAGAAGAAATTATCATTAGATGGAGCTCATAGGCGTGTCTGTCTTCAAAGGAAGAGAAATGTCTGGCCACACATGGAGAGCATTATTGAATCTTCATTCAGCTTCAAGGAATGCATGGCCAAGGCAGAAGGGAGAAAATTTGAACATAAGAAACTTCAACAAACCAAAATAAAATTTTCAAGATTTTGATGCGGACACTGAGATGAATACAATGGTGAAGTCAAATCTTGATTTGGACTGTCGGATGTTGAGAAATGCAGGAAAGAAATTGCTAAAAATTGGGGAGGAAGGGAGGGGGAGAGAGAGAATGCGTTTTTGTGAATTCAAAAATTGAAGTAGATAAAGATGACCGTACTGATAAGACCCTACCGGAAAAAAAAAAGAAAGAAAGTAGAGTAATAAAAAATTAATTAAAAAAATAAAAGTGAATCTACTTTTGAAGATGTATGGTGAGACAAAAAGGAACAAGACACGTTTGGTGAAGCTAAAAGTGATAGAAAAATGAGTTATTGTATAGGTATCTTAAAGTGATGTGAGTCTATGTGTGTTTATAGATATATGTGAGTATGATGAAATTTTTATAAGAATATATTTAAATGTTAGAAAAATAAAAATAACAAGAGATAATTAGTAAATTCAAATGAGACTAAACTATATGTATGCATGATGCAAGTGAGAAATGAAAATAAGAAAAAGAAATATGACGAAAAATTAGGAATTGACAAGTTATTCCCAAAATTACAAATTAAGTCTAATAAATTCAAATAATGCTCAAAATATCCAAAACAAATGCCAAAAACTAAGAATAAAGGGGGATAGAATGAGATGAAAAATATGATTTACCATATATAGACTTTTTATTGTTCAAAAGCTTGAAAAACTTTACAAATGTTCAACTTAAGTACATGGACCATGTTTATGGATGGATATTATATTGTTAATAAATGAACATTGTTATGTTATATATGGACTTTCTGTTGTTTATAAATTTAAAAAACTTTTACAAATGTTCAACTTAACCATATGGCCCAAGTGAAATAGATGAATACTGTGTTATTAATAAATGGATATTGTCATATTATATAAGGACTTTTTGTTGTTTATAAACATGGGAAACTTTTATAACTGTTCAACTTAATCACACAAATTATTTAAAATATATGGGCATTGTGTTATTAATAAATGAAGCTTGTCATGTTATATATAAACCTTTTATTGTTCAGGTTACAAATACATTATAAATGTTTAACCACATAAACAATGTGAAATAGATAAATATTGTGTTGTTAATTAATAGACTTTTTCATGTTATATATAAATTTTTTGTTGTTTATAAGCCTAAAAAAACTTGTACAGATGATCATTGCAAATAATTTCATTTACACCACACAAGTGTTCTCCAAACATACACCACAATATATGCCATATACCCATTCACAAAAGAAAAACAAACTTAAGATAGCACATACATAATCTTAGAGGAATACCAATTACATTATAATCCTATTATTTTTATTTTCCTTTGTTTCTTGCCGTGAGTGCAAGGACACTTTGAGCTTTGATATTATTGGAATTCTCCACTAATTAATACAAAATGTTGCACCTGAACTTTTATACTCATGTACAAATAAACAAAGTTCAGAAATTTACAAGTAAAAAATCATAATATTCACAAATATGAATTCAAATATTTACAAGTAAAAGTCTATACCTTGACAAGTAAAGATTCAAAGTTGACTTCTTGTTAAAGTTCACATATTTACAATTAAATGTTCGAATATTCACAAGTATAGGTTTAACTATTCACAATTCAAAGTTCATAATTTTTTATTTTAGATATTTACAACTTAGTGATAGCAAATTTTGATTTTTGCAACATCTGTAGCAATTCCCAAAAATTCCAAAAATATGCATCCAAATGAAAGATGAATAAACCCCTTTCAAGACCTTTTAAGTAAATCTAAGTCGAGTATATAGCTTTCTTTGCTTCTAGAAGCAAATCAAGATCAAGGATGTTAAAATGACAGAGTCAATCTATAGATCAAAGAGTCACAAATCTTACGGCCACCTAATCGATAGATCTTGTCCCCTTTTTATGGCTTGTTACTAATCTCATTGCATGCTTATAGAATGGGGTCCAAGGAAGAGGAGGGAGGGAAGAAAGGTAGTGAGAGGGAGAGAAGGAAAGGGAAGATGAAAAGGAAGAGGAGAGGAGGAAGAAAAGATTATATTGTCGAACATTGGTTGGTTTTGAA